TCTCACGAATATTTAATTGGAAAAAAACATATGTTAAGAAATTAATTGCATGCGTTATTATGACTAAAAAAATTATTCTTCCAGACTTGTAAATGAGGCTATAAAGGTGTATATCTTTCTTTCAAACTTATAAGACATTTTAACCAACTTTTATTAAAAAAATTAATATAATTAAAAATTATATACTTTTTTATGTCTATTTTTATTTAATAGAATAATTTGATAAATAATAAATATAAAAGTCTCATTAATTCAAATATTCATTGGAAAATTTTTTAAAAAATATTGTCAATTACTTTTACAAAATACCAAAATATCGTATATTCTCCAACATGATATCTCTTAAAAATGCCTTATATGATTTTTTTTAAAAAAACCTTATATGATGTCGTCTTGTCTTCTCATTATGCAGTCATGGTTTCATGGAGAGAAAAATAAATCTTGGATGGTGACATATCATCTTTTAACCTTGGTCCATGTTTTTATTATTAATCAAGTGTACCCTCAAATATTTATGCTAAAAACAAAGTGACACAGTGAAGTATATTCTTTATTTGGCAAAGAAAAAATCGCCATGTCTTTTTTTTTTTTTCCCTATGAACAACACTCATGAATTATTGATGGGGTTAAAAGAAAAAAAGAATTTCATATCATTTTATTCATACTCTTTTATTTCCAAGTCAAAGTCAATTTATTATATCCATGACGTGAAGAGAATACAGCATGATAATTAATAATAGAGTCTTCGCTATGTCCATAATATATTTTAAGTATATTCATTTATGATTGTATTTTATTATAAGAAAAAAGTATATATTATTCCACATACAAATTAATAAAAAAATAAATTAAAAATCATTATTGATGCATCTATAATACCTTTTTTAAAAAATTAAGTAAATTAGATTATAAGAATTCATCACGTTTAGAACATGTTTTATGGTTCAAAAGAATATTTACAAATGATAGTTACAATTTTTTTACAGCTTGCTTACAAAATTCTGATACTTACGAATGCTACTGGTATTTGAATTTATATTCTCATAGAAAATGGACTAACTCTTTATTAGCTAGATCACCTTAATTCGTTGACCTCTACATAACCATTTGATTTATAATAATTACAATCGTTGAGATTATGTTAATATTGACTATGTCATTATTGAAGCCGAAGAGAAAAATAAGTAACATGCATTGTGAAAATAAATCAAATGCCATCACTCGCATTGAAATAAATGTAATAATAATTTATAACTGCTATCAAATATGATAATGAAGAAATGAAATTTATTAATATGTTTCCATAATTAACATTTTTTAATATTATAATATAATAATTAACAATTATTTCAACAGAGTGATGACCAATAAAATAATAAATTTAAAATAAATAAAAACTTTCTTAAGTCGGTCAATTTCCAATCAATCACGGAAATTAAAATTGTCTAAGATTCTATTAGAGGTTAAATGATCTATATTTAAAAATAATTTGTTCAAGATATAAATGATGAGAGCCAACGTGTTATTTTCCTAAAATTTTGTTATAAGCACAAACCATCAAGCCAACATGTCATTCTTCAATTCTTTTACTACAATTGCTGTCTCTTATTAGTAATCAAAATATGCATTTATTTTGATGGTGTTAAAATAATTGATGAATATTTTTATAAAAGAGACTATAAAACCCCTTCTCCAAATGTCTTGCAAATATAATGGAGGAGTAAAATTCTAAATAATGTCATAATGGTTGTCTTATTTTTCTACGCTCATTCATAATTTCAAAGTTGGAGCCAATTCGTATGCCTAGAGAAAATGGCACAATAATAGTAGACTAATAAAAATAATTTATGTATATTTCAGTCATTGAATTCTGAACATAAAGATCGTGCATGTAGAGAAAACGGCACAGTAATAAAAGTCTTGGCTCTTCTCAACCTGTTACTGAAGCCAAGAAGCCATTAATATTAGTAGTCCATCTTTTTAACTAGTGTTAACATTTTTTTGGTCAGGTCAGCTCTTGTACGTACTCATATCTTTGGGGAAAAAAAGACACAACAATGGAGATTATTTTGTGATCTAAACTACTCGATTCTATGTTAGAAATATAACAGTTAGTACATTATTTTCGAGTTAAAATATTTTAAAATATGATTTTATAAATGAAGAAAAGTAAGTGTAAAATTTCAAGAAAAATTCCTTCAATAAAGATCACCGCAAAAATTTAATTTTTGTTATCATAAAATCCTGTAAAAATGAATAAAATAGTAAGCAGCCAGTACTCCTTCTATTCTATTATATTGGCCTTGCTATAGTAAAAATTGTGTGGCATATTATAGTTCCTTTTTGAATCTGAAAGCAATATAATAAAATAACTTTTATATTTTATCTTCATTTAATCCAACAATTTAACTGGTTTATTTAATATAATTAAAACTTCTACCTATTCCAATGCAATTAAATGAGAGGAAAACTTTATAAAGTATGTCATATTTTTATATGTATATTACATTTTTTTTAATCTATATGTAGGAACTTTTAAAGATCAATATACAAAAATGGAGGGAGTGTAACCGGTATATTATGTTTGTTAATAGTGTGGACAACATTAAAATGTTTTTAAATGTTAAAAGAAGAAATTTCATTACACAAAATTTTAAATACTAAAAACTTTATGAAATAATCGTGAGGATAAAATACCTTTATTAAAAATAATTTTTCTGTCATTTTATTTGAGATTCAGTTCGATGCATGCATATTGATATAAGGTCTTGTCTTTTCTCCCCTCATTATTGCAGTTATGGAAAGAAAAATAAGTCATGAATGGTGACAGTTTATTTTTCTACTCATGTCCATGTTTTTATTAATCTAGTGAAAACTCAAATACTTAATCTACGAAAAAATGGCACAATCAAGGACATTGTTTGTTTTGAAAAAGAGAAAAATTTCCCTGTCTTTTTTTAAAAAAATAATCTTGCCACTTTCCCCCATATCATATGCTCATAGTCCGCTTATAGATCCATGACGTAAATAGAGTAGCACAATGTTAATAATTAGAGGAAGATAACGAGTTATCAAATGATTTTTCAAGTTAAAGTGTAAATTTTCGACGATTATTTCATCTTTTTTCTTCCCTTACCTTATAATCAAAATCACTTTTTATTTTTGTAAAACACATATAAATAAGATAAGGGTAGTATAGTTTTAACTTGTGTTTATGATTGTATTTTTCCATTATTGGAGAAAAATAAATATTATTTCACATATACCAATAAATAAAAAATAAAATGAAAATGATTACTGATGCATTTATATTACCATTTTTTAACAAAAATTTATGTAAATTGGATTATTGAAGTTCTCCAATTTTAGATCTTTTTTTATGGTTCAAGCAATGCTCACAACTATAACTCTAAATACTCATCGATTACTTTTTAACAAACTCTACTTCAAATTACTATTTAGTTGGATCAGCCTTGTTGACTTCAATTTCGGCATTTTATCAATAATATTAATGCCAAATAAAGTTAGCATAAATGGTAAGAGCTCTCATCTAGAGTTAATTATAAATATAGAAATTTAGTTGGGAGAGATCTACATGTGAAACTTACTTGTGCTTTAAAATAATAATGATGATTATTGATGAATAATAAATAACCATTATTGTGAAATTTTGTGTATCTAGTTGTTGCTACGTCTTTTCACAATTTATTGACATAGTAGAAGAGACAAAGGATTTATGAATGGGCATTCTTATATTTATTTTTTATCGTCTCTATAATTTTTGGCTTTTGCTAATGAAATTAAATATTTTCCCACAAAAGAAAAACATACACGGGGGCAATTAGGTAATTCTAATCCATGTATGTGGAGCCAGTAAATGCAATAAGCTGTGATAGTGATTTGTCATCACATCTTTGCAGATAGGACATCTCTTGCCAACGTCCTTCATATGCACTTGGGACATGGCCTTCACTAGAGACACATTACATGACAATAAATCTATCCAATAAATTCTTGGTAGAGTTGAAATGAAACAAGTCCTTTCTTTTCTTTTTTGCCAACGAAACTAGTGCTTTCTTTCTTGACCCTGTCAAAAGAAAATTAACGTGTAAAGAATTACAATTCATGTGTGTTTTAATTTCTTGTTTGGAGTAAAGAAATTTCTTGGAGATGAGGATAAGAAATGACGTTGTGTGTGTTTGGTTGGCAGCAATTTGATAAAGTTAACTTAATTAGTTTATTATTTCACCAAAATAATTAGATTTTTAATAGATAATGCATATATAGTTATATTATTTTGTCATTTTTCTTTATTATATCAAAATATATTGAGGTTCTATAATTGATGAAATTTCCTAGACATTTTCCATATCATTGATGTAGCCCTAGAAAAGAAATTTCCTCTTATTTTTCTATACCAACGCTTTAAATCAAGTCAACTTGAATATCTTTAGCGTTGAGAAAGGGCCAGAATAATTCCAATCTTACATAAAAATATTTCTGTAATTTATTATTCATTTTATTCTTTATGTTCTCTCCCTAAATTTCCGATTCCTTTTATTCCGTTTTTTATAAAATTTATAGAAAGAGAAATATAGGTGAATTTTATAATAAAATTTCCTATTTAATCCTGCAATTGAATATAAAAAGAAAAATTTAGAACACTTGTTTTAATCAGAAAAATTTATTGGCTCCCTTTTTTTTGGCTCTAATTGTATGGACCTACTTTCATTTCATGAATAGGATCTGTCTTAGTATTCCACTTTTAATTGTACTCTCTACTAAAAAAGATTACATTTAATTATTGGACTGAATTTGAATAGTCCACTTCTTTTCCAGCCATAAATATGAATACTTTCATTAGATTCACAATTTATTCCACTTTTATTATTATTGAAGTTATTATTGAAGACCAGTGCTAGCTTATCAATATATATATATATATAGCATGACCTTCTTGACTATCCACTTCAATGTTAGAGGCCTTGAACCAATTCATGATGGCGAACCTTTGGTTTCATTTTTCCTTCTCCATGTTCTCATTGCTTTGCTATCTCATGGTCTGTCCAACTTTATGTCACACCAATTTCGCCAAAAACGATGAATTGGCACTTCTTGCTCTCAAAATTTCTGTGAGAGACCCATTCAACCACTTGTCTAATTGGTCAAACTCTTCCTCCATTTGCAATTGGGTTGGGGTTACTTGTGATTCTAAAGGTGAGAGAGTAAGTGTATTGAATCTTGCTCACATGAGTCTCATGGGCACCTTGCCGCCACAAGTGGGGAATTTGTCCTCCCTTGTTGAACTTGACCTTCATAATAACAACCTTCATGGTGAGTTACCGAAGGAGCTGCTGCAGTTACACAAGTTGAAAATTTTCAACCTTAGCTATAATGAATTTGATGGGAAAATTCCAGCTTGGATTGGAAGTTTATTTGCTCTTCAACACCTGGTCTTTCAAAATAATAGTTTTCAGGTTGTTATTCCTCCAAATGTATTGAATTTGTCGAAGTTAGAGACATTGGATTGGAATAACAATTTCATCCATGGATCTATTCCACTTGAGATTGGAAGGCTTCAACATTTAAAGATTTTATGTGTAGCAGGGAACAATCTTTCAGGAAATATACCTCCAACTATTTCTGGCTTATCCTCACTTGAGCTGATGTCTTTGTCATTCAACTCTTTAAAAGGTATGCCTTTCATAATATCAGATAAATTTATACTTGCTCCAAGTCATCTCAAACAATTTTGTGTTGGTGTTAGTGCATCTTAGGATGAGCTATTAATTACAATCTCTCGTTCAACCTTCATTTGCCCAATTTTGTTCATTATTTAAAAAGAATACACACACACATATATACATACATACATACATAAATACATACATATATATATATATATATATAAAGCAAATAGATATATCATAGGAGTGAAGGGAAGCTCCACTAAAGAATAATGATAATGTTTGGATTGATGGATTTGAATTTAAATTTAGATTTAAAATCTTGTATTTCAAATCTCTCATTTAAAATTCATGTAATTAAAATCCTTAGTTTGGGTAGTTTAAAAAAAATCAAATGAGAGATTAAAAAAAAAAGATATGAGAGTCATTGAGACAGACATCAATAGTGAAAACACAAAAAGAACAATATGTTTGAAGTGGTTGAAATTTCAAATGACTAGAATGTAGAGTAAATTTGAAATTGCAAAGGCAATATAAAAAACATAGATTTGGATCCACAAATTTTTGTATGTCTAAATAAGGAATTTGATCCAAATCTAAATTCTTGTTAATCCAAACGCAACATAAAATAAGAGTTCTATAAAAACTCAATGGAAACGGAGAAACATGTATTGAGTGTAAATTTTTAGGTGAATTCTGTGTTTTTTCTTATTGACTATAAACATCATTGTAATTTTAACTGAGATGCATGAACAGGTGTAAGGCACAGAATTACCAGCTTCTGATTGGATGGCGACTAATGTTTAAGATGAACCACCTTTGGATCTTATAATTAACTAATGTATAAAAAGTTGTAGGTTTGTGAGCTGTATAGATTGATTAGTGTGTGGCAGTAAATCAAACATGACGCATAGGTATAAATTAACTAAAATTAAATATTAATTATGGGCTTCCAAGCTTGTGTTTTTCGGTTCCCTGAGTTAAAATTTACTATCTATCCCCCAATAGTCCTTATCATTCTGACCATGTCCAATTGACAACTCTTCGCACGCAAGAATTTTATGGATAGGGTGGAAAAAAACATTTTCAAAAGTAACCACCTTTTTAGGCTATGTTCATATAAACTAGTGCAGCAATTAAAATCAAAGAAGGGTGGGAGATTTTTTTTTTTAATATATAGATGTATACATCAACTATGGTATTTGAATTTTCATTTTTACTTTTTATTATCAATATTTTAAAAAATTTATTTTATGATTTGAGAGAAATGTTATTGGATATCTGATGATGTATAATAATGTAAAAATTAAAAATGCAACATATAAAAATATAATACATTAACTTTACAAAAGTACTTCAATATAAAAAACTATGTAAAGAATTTGATCATATATTAAGCATGATTGCCTTCAATGGGAAAATATTCGTGAGTAATAAAAAAACTATGTGAAGAATATAAAAACAATTAACATTTTATCCGTATTTTTTACAATATTATATATATATAATACACTGTTTTCATCCATTTTTTGTGTTATAGTTATTGTTAAAAATTCTAAATTTGTTCATATATGTTTTGTAAGTTTTGATATCTATTCTTAAAAACTTTTCATATTATTTATGATTTATTTTTAGAGTAAAATACATTAAGCTACACAGCTTTGGCTTTTTGGTTAGTGTACTGCATTATATATATCCAACCAAAAAGTTGGAGGTTCGTACTAGCATCAAAGAGAAGAATAAAATATATTCATTTATCTTTAATTTTCTTAATATTAATGAAGCCAGCCTATACTTTTCAAAATATACACTTTAGTTTCATTTTTTTTTAACTTTGTTGAAAGTAATTTATCAAAGATTGTCAAAGGTGAATAATGGCAATTTAAACTTACTAGCATACCCTTCATCCAAACCATTAATTCCATTCCTAACCATAACAGTCTCCCTTGCCGTTGCACGAAACAACGCATGCAACGCACGACATAATGATGCGCTTTTTTTTTTTTTTTATCCAATCATTTGCGCACCATAATAAATATTATAGCTCCAGCACACCAAAAAAAAGTACACTTCCAAAATTTATCTATTTATGGTAATGAAATTTTTGGTCCAATAATATTTGGTTACAAATTAATTAAAAAAGAGCTCAAATTAGCGGCTACACATAAAATAATTTGTTTGGTTTAAGAGCTTTATCATTGTCCTATTTTTTAAATACAAAGTCAGTAATGATAATATTTTGATCAAAATAACCTTAAAAGAATGCATTCATAAGATTATTATTGTTACTCATTTTTCTTTTTTATCATAATCATTTTGTACATGAGAACTCATAATAATGTGGTTTTCTCATTATCATATTGTAGGAGATATTCCCAAAACAATTGGTGCTCTCACAAACATGAAAGTTATATACCTAGAGATTAACAAGTTGTCTGGGCAAATGCCAAGAAGTATTGGAAACTTGACTATGCTTCAGGAATTATATCTCAATGACAATAACTTAGAAGGTAAGCTTTCAACCAATCGTAATGTATAGCTTTTCATCAATTTTGTGTTATTTTTGTGTGTTGTTATTGATCACGCGGTCCATCCGTCAACTATATTTGTCTAATATTTTTTCGAAATATTACTCTATTTACCTCTATTTTTCTGTTAAAAACAGAGATGAGCATATAATATTGTTATTGATTTTGCAAAGATTTGCAATTTCAATTCCATGTACAATATGGGTATTCAAATTATCAAAATTAGCACAATTTATTTAAATTAACTTCCCCAGAGAAAGTTAATGTTTGATAATCCCTAAACTACTGTTACTTTTCAAGGAAATATACTAAGATGCATTGGAAAATTGATTTTGCTTTTAAAATTTTATCTCGGTCTCAATAATTTACAAGGTATACTATTTGTAAATTGTAATATGGTATCATCAATTTTTTGTTTCCTTTTTGTTGTTGTTTTGTCTTTTGAAACTTAATAATTATCAACTTAAATGCTAATAGCTTTCTAGTCAAAATACCATTAATTACGTGTAATATTAGAGTTGAAACATATTCATTTGAGTGATAATGTTAATATGGAGTACATCAATATTAAAATATAAAGTCTCCACATCCGTTGTTTCTCTCAAATTGTAAATAAGAAGTAAAAAATTGAAAAAAATATAAAACTTGAAACCCTATAGTTTTACCAAATTCTAAGAATCAGTCTAGAGCAAATAATGAATTATGATTCTATTTATCTCTATTTTAAGAGCTAAAAACAGAGGTAAATATATACGGCTATACACAGTGCCAAATTTTATTTATTTATATTTAAGGTGTTGGGCAAAGGTGCAAGAAAGAGAAAGAGACTTTGAAATTTCATTATTGATTTTTTTTCTTAATAATGGTTAATAGTTCACCACGTCATCTATCATATAAGAATTCATTTGCAATATTATCACTTTCCTGGTATTTCAAGGTTCTATCAGCAAGGCCGTGTGTAACACTAGTCCATTAAGGATGTTATCTTATGCCTAAAAAATGTTCACTTATATCCTATATAATCAGTCATTCTTTTTCTTATTAAGCATTAATGTTAATTATATATTTTCATTAAGAGTTTATTACTTACTTTTATCTTGGATAACCAATAATTAATTTTTTACTAAGCATTAATGTTAATCATATCTCTTCTTTAAAAATATATGGTCGCATATACTCTGCCACAACCACTTTGTCATTTCATCTCTTCTTTTCTCTCAACCAAATCATTTCTTGCTCTACCATTATTTTCTTATTAAAAAAAATAGCTCTTGCTTAGTCGTTTCCATGGCGTGGCTTGATTGATAACTTGATTTCTCATTTGTCATTATGAAATCAACAAATCCTTTTATTTGTTCATAGGAGTTTTGCACTTCTAATAAAAGAATAAAGAAATCCAATCGTAGATGGCCATATATATTAGGTGTGTTTTTTCCTCTTTTACCCTTTATTTGTGATTGTTTTAATTTTTATAGAATTTGAAGTGGCAAAATAACAATACATTCGACCTCTAAAATAATTTCACCTCAATCTCTAAAACTCCTTCAGATGTCCCTGTCTTTGAGTGTTTCGTTTTGAAGGTTGTAGAGGACTGAACCAAGAGCCAATTCCTAATGTAATAGGTGGAATTGGATGGCCCAATCTGTTTAGAAAACCATGACTTTTCTTGTGGTTATGTCGTCATTAGTGGCTATTGGTGCCAAATATGTCAAAATTAGAGACCTTGGACTGGAATTTTAGTTCTATCCATGGATCTATTCCACTAGAGATTGGAAGGCTTCAATGTTTAAAGATTTTATGTTTAGCAAGGAATGACATTTCAGGAAAAATACCTCTAGCTATTCCTAGCTTATCCTCACTTGAATTGATGTCATGCAACTGCTTAATAGGCATGTCTTTAATAATATCAGATAAATTCATATATTTCTATAAATCATTTCAAAAAATTTAATATGTGTTAGAATGTCTTAGAATAAACTATTTACAATATCATATTCAACATTGATTTTCTTGGAGAGGGGAATGGGATATATATATATATATATTGATTATGTTGAGTAGAGGCAATAAATGAATCCACAAATTATATATAATTTTAATTTGTTGTGATATTGGTAACTCCTTTACCATGCTTTCAACACAACATAGTGTATTAACATCATTTAGTATTCTTTGCACTGTCAGGAACAAATATTTTGCATGCTTTTGTTAGTTTTTGTCCCTTTCATTTTGCTTCTTGGAGCCATAGTGCAAGAGATACTTTTTTAATGGTTTTTAAATTTATATTATTTTTTATACGACATATGTTGTCCATGATCATCTCCATAAAGTTATATTGTATTTGTATTTCTATGATTTTCTATAATATATACAAAAGCACTCATATCAGTGTTTTTATTTGTTATTGCAATAATGCAGGAGATATTCCAAATGAAATTGCCAATCTTACAATCGTAAAATTATGCACTTGGCTCAAAATCAACTCATTGGCTACATACCTAGAAGCATTGGAAGTTTGGTTTTGCTTCAGGAATTAGGTCTTGGTTCCAATAATTTACAAGGTATAATTTTGATGCAAATTATAATTCACTATAGATTATTTTTTTGTTCTTACTTCGTTTCTCTTGCAACTTGAAATTATGAACTTAGATGCTAATAGGTTTCATCAAAATTCTATTAATTATATCTCCCAAAATGTATAAGTCTAGAATAAACATTTTTTTTCACAAAACAAAAATTGGATTATATTTTTATACATAATTTGTAATATTTTATAATGTCATTGAGAACTCAACATGTTATAAAGATTTCAAATATAAAAGGGGATAATTTCTGTTAGGTCTCTTGTAAGGAAACTTCCATTAAATTTCAAAGGACTTTTTTTTTCTCCAACTGCTAATACATTCCTAAGGCAAATAAGCTAGTACAGTACAACTGAAACCGCAAACGACAACAAATCAACAAAACAAGGAAAGCAAGAAGCAAAAACAGAATCAGCAACAAAATAAGAGGGATCAGCCAAATAATTTTAAGCAGTAGATGAGACAAAGGAAGTGATAATGAGGACACCCATCCTATTAGAACCAGCAACAATATGCTTGATTTTTAATTTCAAAGGACTTTAATGATATTAAAATTCAAGCATATTTACTAAATCCAATTTTAATAAAGGAAGGGTATTTTCTTAAAAAAGATAAGTATTTTTGTAAGTTTTAATTTTAATTTTATAAAACTTTTTGGGATTTAAATGAAAATTTTATAATTTAAATTTAATTTAAAATCAAATACAAATAATTTTAACTAAATATTGGTCCGTGTCTCTTTTTTAACTTTCCCACCCTAATATCTCTTCAAATACATACAAAAATGATACTGTACATTAGGTAATAGAAGCATAAGCCCATCACCAAGTCTATCATTCATAGATGTAACTTTTAGACCTATATATCAACACTTGTAGTATTGTACTTTTTATTTTGTTATATTGATACACACATATAATTATATAAAAAATTAATTGATAACTTTTGAAATTTTGTTGATATTTTTTCGTCACAATTGCAGTCTTACGTTTTTCTAAAAAAGGTTCTACTTACTATAACCCCCATAAATCTCAATAATAAAATATATTTAGATTAAATATTTTAAAGTATATCATATTTTATAATTAAATTTTTAGTTAAATATTTAGATTAAATATTTTAAAGTATATCATAGTTTTATATATCCAAACTACTTACTCTTTTTTGTTGTTTTCACTTAGTTAATTATAAGAATTTTAAGAGATAAATGGATAATTTGTTTCAGCTTATTTTATGAAAAAATTACTTTTTTAAAAAAATATTTTATGATTTTATCAAAGTTCGTTTAAATTTTTGAAAATAGTAAGAATAGAAAAGTAAATTTTTTATTATTTTAAGAAACTAATTGAGAGAGAATGTTTTAAAAATGTGAGACACAAGAAGGTATGCTAAGATTTTAAAATAACTAAATAATAAATTATTTCTATAAAACAAAAATAAAGAAAGATATTATAAAATTTAAAAATAAAAAACTAATAATTACTTTTTTATTATTGTAACCAAGTATAAAATAATATCTTCTTTTTATAAAATTTCTACAAAATAATTCTTTTATAAAATCCATAAATCATAAAACTTATAAATATGTTGTTAGTGGGTAATCTATAAGTAATTTTTGAGCTTGGAGGCCTGTACTAGCCTGGGTGAGCCACTAGACCCAACTCACCTAAACTTTCTGAAAGAAAATATAAAACTTATAAATAAAAATATATAAAAATAAAACATATTAACAACATATTAACATGGGAAAATGATAATAAAATCCCCTTGAAATATAAACAGACAACCATGCCCCTCAAAAATGCCATAATTCCTTTAGAATCCCTGGGTACCTTTTTGAAATTAATGATTTCTGTTTAGCAAAGAAAAATTTGTAAACTTTATATGATATAAATTTTGGCAGTGATGAAATCTATTTAGCTATTTAAAAAATAAAAGAAAAAAATTTTACTCTTTATGGGTAAGTATGTTGCATATATCCAACACATTTTTTCCGTGTTATTGATTTTTTTTTTTGAAGATTTGCCTTTCCAACTTCATGCCTTCCTCTGCGGGTATTCAAATTAATAAAGTTAGCTCATTTTGTGCATTGATGAGAACAACTTTGCAAAAGTTTGCTTGTTCAAATTAATTTCCCCTGAGAAAGTTAATGTTCGGTAATTTTGTAACTGTTATTTTTCAGTGACATATTGATGATAATAATTTTTTTAATTTGGTAAAGATAAAATAATCCAATGTTCTTTGTAATCCTCTTTTAGCTAGCCAGACAATTTGTCACTTTAGATGATTTGTCGCAATCATATGTTCTAATCAATCACTTGTTACCTCCTTTCATCATCCCGCGTGTTGTTCTTGATTTTCAAGTTGAGCAACTCGCACATTTGAAGAATCTTGACCTTCTTCCCAGTTATTCTGCTACTATTGGTAAGGGTTAAGGGAAAGAGAGAGTTTTTTTTTTTTTTTTTTTAAAAATATGAATCATTGTTGACATTGAGAATCTAAGTGACATGTGGCTGCCAAGGATATATTTTTAGTCAAAAAAATTATTTAATGAGCAAGTTAACTGGGCATTTACATGGATGCTATGTCTACACATGCATGGGACTTAGTCACAAACTTATATTAACATCGGTATGTGACGGCAAGACACAGGTAGTTAAGTTTTTTTATAGTTTTTAAAAATTGAGTTCATGATATCAGGTGGTCCTAAGTGAATACTTCAAAACAAAAATGATCCTTACTCTTTTTTTTTAATTATGAATTTCATATTCTAAAGTGACTCTCCCTTCTTTCACAATGGAATAATTTATGCCCTAAAAAAATTAACTATTTTTTAATGATCTAGTCTTTTATTTTTTTGTTTCCTGGCTGCATGTAACTTGTGATATTATATTAAGAGTGCAACATTGAATGCATATAGAACAAAAAAGGAAAGAAACAAGAAAAAAGAAAAAAATTGCATGCAATTGGCACTGTAGGAGGGGATCCACTTCCACGTGTCGCGGGTATATTTTTAATTTGAAAATTTGGACAGTAATCATCAAATTAGTT